AACATTCTTATTAATATTCTCAGCTTTTCTCACACACACGCAAAAAAATTAGCGGGTGTAAGCAATCTTGAGAAGGAAGAACAAGCTGGAGGCATCACACTTTTTGATTTTAAATGTATTGTAAAGCTATAGTAATCAAAACAATATGGTATTGGCATAAAAACAGACACATAGATCAATGGAACAGAATAGAGAGCCCAGAAATAAACTCACAGATGTATGGTATATTAGCATACAACAAAGGAGGCAAGAATGTACACGAGGAAAGGAAAATCTCTCCAATATATGGTGTTGAGAAAACTAGACAGTCACATGCAAAAGAATGAAAATGGACCACTATCTCACACCATATACAAAATTTAACTAAAAATAAAGACTTCAGTGTAAGACTTGAACCCATAAAACTCCTAAAATAAAACAGGTGATAAGTCCTTTGACATTGATCTTGGCAATGATTTTTTTGGGCCTGACTTCAAAGGCAAGGACAACAAAAGCAAAAATAAACAAATGGGACTATATCAAACTAAAAAAGCTTCAGTACAGCAAAGGAAACCATCGGCAATTGAAAAGGCAACTTACTGAATGAGAGAAGATATTTGCAAATCATATATCTGATAAGGGGTTAATATCCAAATTATATAAAGAACTCATACAATGGAATAACAATAACAAAAAATCCAATTAAAAAATGGGCAGAGGATCTGAATAGACATTTTCCCAAAGAGGATTGCCAGCAGGCACATGAAAAGATGCTCAACATCACTAATCATCAGGGAAATGCAAATCAAAACCACAACGAGATATCACCTCACACCTGTCAGAGTGGTTATTATCAAAAAGAAAAGAAATAATAAGTGTTGGTGAGGATGTGGAGAAAGGGAATCCTTGTGCACTGCTGGTGGGAATGTAAACTGGGACAGCCACTATGAAAAACGGTTTGAAATTTCCTCAAAAAATTAAAAATAGAACTGTCATATGATCCAGCAATGTAACTTCTGGGTATTTATCTGAAGAAAATGAAAACACTAATTCGAAAAGATATATGCACCCCTATATTTATTGCAGTGTTATTTACAATAGCCAAGATATGGAAGCAACTTAGTGTCCATTGATAGATAAATGGATAAAGAAGGAAATCTTGCTATTTGTGACAACATGGATGGACCTCAAGTGTACTATGCTTAGTGAAATAAGTCAGACAGAGGAAGGAAAATATCATATGATCTTACTTATATGTGAAATAAAAAAAAACTGAACTCCTAGATACAGAGAACAGATTAGTGGTTGCTAGAGGCAGGGGTGGGAAGGTGGCAAAATAGGTTAAGGGCGTCAAGGTACAAATTTTCGAAGAAGTCAAGAGGCGGTAATAAATGCATGGTGACTATAGTAAATAATACTGAATTATATACTTGAAAGTTTCCAAGAGAGAAAATCTTGTAAATTCTCATCACAAGAAAAAAAATTTTTGTGATTGTATGTTTATGGATGATAACTAGACTTGCGTTAATCATTTTACAATATATACAAATATAGAATCCTCACATCATACACCTAAAACTAATATGTTATATGCTAATTAGATCTCAACCAAAAATTATTGGTTGTATTTTTAGAGGCTGACTGTTTTGCAAATCGATGCTTTTGCAATAGATGGTTTTGTAAATCAATGTTTTTGCTAGAGAGATGGCATACTGAACTCAGCACTGATTTGGTTGTTCTTGGATTTTGTGGAGCTGAAAAACTTTTTATGTTTGTATCATATCTGGAGTCTGTTTTATTGAAAAATTGCATCTTCCATCTTACTGTATCCAAAAAAATTTTCATTGCTATTTTCTTCAACATTCCCGTCTTCTATTTATTAGAAATGTATCCATAGACCGGTGAATTTTCAAAAATTTAAATTGTATATAATGCCAGTTAATTCTGACCAGAAAGTAGTAACTGCATATTGAAAGTGAGGTCAAGTTGATAAAACACACCAAACTGAAAATTTTTTATATCCAAAAGTAGACTTTGACCACCTTAGCTTTAAGATGAAAATTCTATTAAATTATTCAGATAGGGATAAGAGTAGCATCACACAATTACATACTATATATCATTATAACTAAATATTCCAAAATAATTTTGATTTTATGTACGTCTCTATTTTTAGTTAGAGAATTATTTATTTTTATGTTCAAAATACACATTCTATTATTTGGATTCATATTTTGAGGAATATTATTTTAAAAACCCAAGAAACAAAATATAGAACACATCCTGAGATAAGTTCCTAAAAACAGCCACACTGAGATAAAATGATTGGCACCTAACTTAATTAATTTGTTTTATGATGTTATCAATACAAGATGTAAATTGATATGCTCTTTTTCATACTTCATTTGTTATCATGCAGTGTAATATGTGGTTAAAATTATAAGTTATTTGTAAAGTTGGGAGTATGATAAAAAGCAGAGTATTTCTTTGGTAAATAAATCTGCATGCATAAATTGAACTCTCAGCTTTTGAAAGTAATTCAATGACTTATAAATAAAAAATCAGAAATAACTTTATTAATTTATTACATACACAATCAAACTTTTCTTATGTGTTTAACATATTTAATGAAAGAAAAATGTCTCCATTGCTAGAAACTAATTGGTCCAGCAGCTGCCAGTAGGCATCAAATAGTCCATGCAATCTCTCTTGTGTAACAAGTTTCCATGTAAGCATGGGGCTATTTCTATGCTATATCATGACTCTTTATTCTATGCTACTGATCTATTTTTCTATCTCATTCCAATATTTAATGATTATATTAATTACTATAAATTTGTGAATCTTGAATTCTGATAGGTAATTTCGCCCCAGTTTTCCAGAAGTGTCTTAATTATTTTCCTTGCAAAAATTTGAATTTTAGATTTAGCTTGTCAAATAAAAATTCCGTTGGGACTTTAACTGGAATTAAAATGAATTTATAGATTAATTTGCGAAGAATGAATATCTTTACAATGTTTAGTCTTCCTACCAATAAACTTGGCATAATCTCTCCATTTATTTAGCTTTTTTATTGTTGTTGCACTTTAGTCTCCAGTATTCCTTAATTACCTTGGGATTTTTCTCAACAATTTTAATATGATCTCATTCATTGGTGATTTTGACTAGCCTCCATTGCTGCCTAACAAATTTTTACTTAGCCTTGAAGCCTCAGTTCAAATGCCACCTCCACGGTGAAGCTCTCCTCTATTGTTCCTGCAACTCAGAGTACTTTGCATATAATTGCAGGAGCAAATATTTACTGATTGCTTACTATATGCCATAGCACTGTGTTAAGCACTCTCTGAGCATTAACTCATATAATCTTCAAAGCAACTGTTTGAAATCGTAGTTGGTGTTATTATCTCCATTTATGAAAAAATAAGCTCAGAGAGTGCAACTTGTCTAAGGCATACAGCCAGGATTAGATAGGGCCAGGATATGAGTCCAGGCAGTCTGTCTCCAGAGCCCATGTTCTGACCATGTCATACTCCCTTTCAAGCAGTTGTATTATCGTATGGAAATCGTATACATGCATTCATTCTTACATCCAGAAAAAATGTTTTGTGTGCACACACTGGATCAGGAACTGCAAAAGGTGCTGGTGGAACATATGGTGTTAAATAAAATAGGCATTAATTAAAAAATCACACCAATAAATATACAGGTACAAATAGGGCTGAGTGTCCTGGGATGAGGGAGGGGAACCCAAGGTTAGATGAATGAAAATTAAATAGGGGGAGGGCTTAAGGCAGGCAGATGCAGGAAAGGTATGGGGAATATATGTCTTTAGGTGGAGGTCACAGGAAGAGAGTTATGAACTTGATTTAGGATGTATTGAGTTTCAGGGCCTGAGGCACAGCTAAGCTGGCAAAGGTTGGAAAATATGGAGATCTGGGACGCCCGCATCATGGCTGGGTTGAAGACAGAGTGGTAATTACTAAGGAGCGGCTGTGGTTAAACCCCAAGCAGCGGTATGACTCCCCAAAAGAAAGCTGCAGAATAAGATGACAGGCAGGCAGAGGAGGAGAAGGGAGCAAAGTGATAAAGGTGTCTGTATCTTTGTATCTCCAGCACCTAAAACAGGGCTTGGCACGGAATAGGTTCTCGGTACTTGTTGGCAGGCGCCCTGCTGAATGAATGAATGACCCTCTGTGTAGCCATGGCTACGTCTCATCCTCGCTGGACCCTCAGTCTCCTCAGTTTCCCTCAGTTAAATGGCAGTAGCAGCTAGGGTCAGGAGGGCAGTAGCTGCTGGGGCTCAGTCAGCCTCCCAAGCGGACTTCTAATGCCCACCAAAGTAACTGCGCACATCAGCGGGTGCGTGGGTGTCCGCTGGAGGGCGGAAGGCGCTCGGACTGCGGAGGACAGTGACCTCGCCTCCTCTGCGATCGCCGAAGAGCGCCCGGCGCTGCGTGGGAGAGGGAGCGCGCGGGAGAAGGGGGTCGGGTGCCCAGAGTGGCACCGACATGGCGGGGAAGCAAGGGGTGACGCGGAAGGGGAGGTCTCCGATACCGAGAATGCCAGGCGCCGTCACCACCTCTGCAAGAGATCTCTCTGGGATGCGGGCGCGAGGGGCAGAAGTAACGAGGTGAAAGGGAGCGAGAGATTGGGGAGATAGATTTGAAAGATCCAGAGGCCGGTGGGGACTTTCATCTGGGATCCCTGCAGGGCCCGCGAACGGCAGGTGCGAACGCAGAAGGGAAGCCGCTCGCCATAGCTGGCAGAACGGATGACCCATCACATCCCGCCTGGCATGCCTCTATCCAGGACAGCTAGGAAAGGCTTACAGAGTCTTTAGGTGCCTGGGTTCCAGTCGCTCCGGTAGGAGGTGTCTGAAGCGCTGAAGTCCGCAGGCTCCTCCTGCCGCCGCCGGGTGGCAGAGTTGGGGGCAGGCGCACCCCACCGACCCCGCCCCGGGGCCGCGGGGAGGCCCCACCGTGGGAGGCGGAGTTGCTACCGCTCCCCCGCAACCCCCGCGAGGACCGTGGCCCCTTCTTAAGCCCGCAGAGCCTCTGGCTGCCCCTCATTCGCCTCTCCCGTCCGCCTCCCTCCCGCGCGATGGCCTCGGCACTGAGCTATGTCTCCAAGTTCAAGTCCTTCGTGATCTTGTTCTTCACCCCGCTACTGCTGCTGCCACTCATCATTCTGATGCCCGCCAAGGTCAGTTGCATCTCCTGGCAACCCCACGGACTCCAGGCGCCGGGTCCCAGCAGCGGGCACCGAACCCGGGAGTACTGAGTTGGAGCGCATGGACTCCTGGGCGGGCACAGCTCCCCCTGGGGCGCGCACATTCGGGAGCTCCGGATACCAGATGGGAGGTGCTCTATAAAGAATTCCAAGGGGCACGGAGACCCCGAGGCGCACCCACTTTGGGGTTCACAGATCCCAGGGCGCAAGAACCGTCCCAATAAGCACAGATACCTAGAAGTTAGCTTAGGTCTCGGCTACACAGCACATCCATAGGCTGAGCCCAGGGAGCAGAATCTCCCTAGAGTGCATAACCTCATTCCCTCTCCCTACTCCCAATACCACCCGTGCTGACAAGGAGCCTGGGCCTTTGTCTCTCTCATCTTCTCACGCCTGTCTCTTCACTTAGTGACTGGGGAATTCCCAGCTGTAGGGACCTACAGGAAAAGATCATCAACTAAGTGGATCCTAAGTGCTGTCTTTGCCACTCTCTGGCCCTTCTTTGAACCTCAGTTTCCCTTTCTATAATACACACTTCTTTCCAGCTCTGAAACCTGGGAAGCCACAGCTAAGTCAAAATCCTGCTCAGGCTGAAAGGCAGATCAGGATGGGCCTGCTTAGCTTGCTGCCTGCTGTGGCTGTGGCAGGAGGCGGACATGTTCCCAGAGCTCACACCTTGGGTGGCAGGACCCAGGGTTGCAGGGAAGCGGCAACCCTGGCCTCCTAGTGTTCCTGGGAAGGGGGCAGAGAATGAATGGTCTTGGCCACAGGGTGGGGGCGGTGCTGGGAGCCCTTGCCCAGGCTGTGCTGGGCTGTGCGAAGCCTGTTTGGCAGAGGCCCGAGCCCTTTGAAGCCTTTTGTGGCTGCTGGCTGCTCCTTCCTCATTCCCTCTTTCAGCCCTTTTACTCTCAGCCGAGGCAGGAAATCCCTGGCTTCCCCCCCACCCCTCCCAGGCAGGTTTGGAAAACAGAGGAGCTCTTTAGGGGATACTATGGGGACAGTCCTGGAGGAGCGGGGCTGTACTGTTACGTCAGAAAGCAAACTCGGCAAGAAAACCGGACTTCCTCCATTCAGTCATCCTTGTGATTTCAGCTAAGCCCCTGGGTTTTCTGGGCTTTGGTGTTCTCATCTGTACAATTGGGCAAGGTAGTTTGGTTCCGACACTTATGGCTTTGGGTGCCCAAAGAAATTATGCCAGTTCCTAGGATGGAGGAGGGGGAGGCTGTGAGGAACCCTTGGGTGGGTTGAGCACAGGCCTTGGATAGACCAAGGATAGCAGAGCCAACCGTGATGGCACTTCAGTTGCCATACTAACTGTGAACAGACGTATACCCTCTGCAGAAAGAGATTGGGAGATGTTATCTTCCCCAGGCGGGAGCCAGGCAGGAGAGCTGTGATTTTAGCTCTGCTTGTGGCGAGTGATGTTCCCTGGAATATAGCAGCTTGGCTGATCTTCCTGCTCCGGGAGACTATGACTGAGACCCCGCTTCTACCCTGTCCCCTCCACATACACACACAGGTGGCCCTGAGATGGAACACCCAACTCAGCGTGTGTATATATGTCATTAACCTGCCCTGGGAGTGAGAATCGGGTGAGAGAAGAGGAGATATCAGTGGAAGTCTTTCCAAAGGGAGCCTTTGCGTGGTGTCCCTCTCAGCGGGGCAGGTGACTGGAAGCCTGGACTCCTGTCTTGGTGTTTTCTCCCTTTGTGCCTCTGTTTTTGTCACCGCTGAAGAGCTCCCTGCCCATTCCCCCTCCCCCACCCCATGGCTACACCATTGTGCAAGGAAACTCAGAGGTACTGGCATGGGGCAGAGAGGCCGGGAAGCCAGGGAGAACTTGGCAGCGTGGCAGACACTGTCCAAGTGGAGTGGCGACTCCGAGCGCATGCCACCCTCAGCCAGTGCCCTGGCCCCTCTCCTGCAGGCTTCCTTCTTCTCTTCCTTTCCTTCACCTTGTTTTCTTTCTGGTTTCATCTCTCTCCACTTTTTCTGCCCTTTCTCTGGGTCCTTTTTTTTTAAAAAATAGCTTTTTAATAAATGATATGTTGATTGCATCATTTATTTTATTAAAATTATTTTTAAAATCTTATCTTTAAAATCTTAACATATAAAGTAAAAATGAAAATAACCTCAATTTCCCATAACTTATTAATATTTTGATGACCTTCTTTCCAGAAACCAATCAATAAATCTCTTCTCTCTCTCCACACACACACACACACACACACACACACACACACACACACAGAGAGCATGTTCTCTTAACTACATTTTTTTCATTAAGCAACACGTTATGGACACCCTTACTTGTTAATAATTAGACATGCTTTTATTCAGTTGTGCATCTAACATGTATTTATTGAGCCCCACTATGTGCCAGACATGTGCTGGGTGCTGACTTTTAAATCCCACTGTTCACTTTTAACTCAGCTTTAAGAGCTTTTCCAGCCACATCCCATCTGCAGGAAAGCGCTCTGACCTCAACCACAGGGAGCCAGGCTCCTCTCTGCAGGTAGAATCCATCTCATTCTGCACGATTACCACCCCTTCCTCAGACTTGTCTAACGTTGCCCATCCTATTCTGCTCTCTCCACTGATGCTGTGGGAGCATTCTAGACAAGGAGGGTCAAATTTGCTTCAGGCTGGGGCACCCTCTAGGCCTCCTGAGAGTGGCATGGAGGTGAAGGAGTCGTCAGCCTTGATCTTTTATATTAGTTATGATTGGTGCCTCTAGGAACTGTGCTGTGAAAATTGGTTACATGTGCCACCCACTGCTTCTAAGTTTGGATAACAAAATTTCACTGAGCACTTCTGTGTGCCATACGTTAAAAATACGTATTAAATCCTCAGCTTATAGGTGACGTCACGAAACAGTGGGGAGTGAGAATATTTTATCAATGACATTGTTGAGTGACTGCTGAAGACCAGACAATGGCAGACAGTGGACACTGATCAGGTCTGCCTGGTGTCAACACCTGGGCTTCTAATTACACTGCTGCCTTGAATCGGTGGCTTGAAGCAGCATTGATACCTGCAACCCCCCGAGCAGGGGACATCTGGCAAAGCTTGGAGACATTTTTTGTTGTCACAGCTGGAGAAAGTACTTCTGGCATCTAGTGAGGCAGAGGCCGAGGATGCTGCTAAACATCCTACGATGCACAGGACAGCTCCCTTCTCAAACAAAGAATCATCCAGCTAAAAATGTAGTGCCAAGGCTGAGAAGCCCTGCATTAGACAGGAGAGAGATGTCTGGGGTGCTCATGGTATGCTGAAGGAAGATTTATTTTTTATGACTGATAACACAATTCTGACAAAGAATTTCTAAGTCTTCCTGCAGTTCTTCATGTACTTAATACGTGCTCATGTACTTGAGTAGTGATAGTGTACAGGTATATCTTTACAGCAATGTCATTATAGTTCCTGCTCTGCTGCTCCATTCCTCTAATAGGCACTCACTGAGGGTCTTCTGAGTGTCAGGCCCATGCTGGGTACTGAGGACAGAGTGAATCCACAAACACTGGCTCTGCCCTCAAGGTGTTCACTGTTTGGTGGTGGTGGAGACAGTTAAGAAAACAAACAATGACAACTCAGTGTGTGAATCGCTGGGGGTTGGGAGAAAGACACAGAGACAGGCACAGACCAAAACCGTGGGGGAGCTGGGGGAAGGTACCAAAGGAGAAATGCTGAGCTGAGCCATGAGGGGTGGCATGTGTAAGAGTGGGAGCCTCAGTGCTCTGTGGTAGCTGGAACTTGGGGTGTGAGTGTGCAAGGAGATGGGGCCGGAGCGGTCTGTAGGGCCTGCTCTGTTGCAGAGCATCTCCTAAGTCATGCTAACGCATTTGGGTTTTGTCTTGAAGGCAAGAGAAGGCTTTCAAACAGGGAGTGATATGATCAGATTTGCAAAAGATAAAGAGGGAGCAGCGGTGTGGAATGATACAAGTGGAATGATCAAATTCGAAGGTAGTTGCAGCCATCCAGGCCATGGGAGATGTGGCCTGAGCAAAGGCAGTGGCCATGGAGTGAAGGCGGGAGGGAGAAGAGGCCAGAGAATAAAGGGCTAGAAACTATAATCTTGGTGGCTAATTTAATTGGCTGGGTTGGGATGAGGGAGAGGACAGAGTCTAGATGGTTAAAAATAGTTATAAAAATGCTGATGAGACATTAAACAGCCTAGGGAAGTGGGTATTACTACCCGCATTTTAATAGATGATGAGACTGAGGGCAGCAGCAGCATGCTGAGGCCTCAGGGCTGTCTCTTCAGTTTGTCAGGTGTGCTTATGTCATCATCCTCATGGCCATTTACTGGTGCACAGAAGTCATCCCTCTGGCTGTCACCTCCCTCATGCCTGCCTTGCTTTTCCCACTGTTGAAGATTATGGACTCCAAGGAGGTGAGCAGACCCAGGGGATCCTGGTAGCTTCCTGCTTCTCCTAGCCCTTCTCTGAGATGCCTAGGCCCCCGGGGGACCAGATGAGCCCATTATGGATACGCTTTGCCATGAAGACATACCACTTGACCCTCCATCCCTACGCCAAGCTGTCCCTGAAGTCAGCATCTAGTCTGCTCACCTGTCTCTGGGGACTTGGGTGGTTGTGGGCACAAGAAGTATGTGGCCAGGAGGTAACCCCGATGGGGCCTTCATACCACCTTCCAGGTGTGTGTCCAGTACATGAAGGACACTAACATGCTGTTCCTGGGTGGCCTCATCGTGGCTGTGGCTGTGGAGCACTGGAACCTGCATAAGAGGATCGCCATTCGCACACTTCTCTGTGTTGGGGCCAAGCCTGCACAGTAATTATATCTTCTCTTTCTTGCCATGGGGCTTCCTGTGGGCCCCAGGGCTGGGGAAGAGCTGTAGCACAAACCAGATCACTCACAGGCGAGGGGCCATGGGATTACCTGGGCTTGGCAGGCAGGTGGATCCCTGGGTGGGACATATGACAATCTTAGCTGGGGACACTAGATGCATGGGCAGTGGTGGGGGCCAGTGGTGAGCAGCAGTTGGTAAAGGTTCTCTGAATCCAGAATAGACTGGTCAGCAAGGGTCCTTGTATGTTTAGAGGACTTCCTGGAGAAGGGGCTGTGGGGTTCCACAGAGAATGAGGTAGGAGGAGGCTGGATCAAGCCATGCCAGACAGGGCATTTGTGGGAGAAGCAGGCCGGAGGTGGCTCAACCACCCAGCTCAGGGAAAGCAGAAAGGTCATCCTTCTAAAGCTGGCACATTTGTTCCTTCTGTAAAGAAGCTTCTTACTTCATTTCTCTCCACATCACTTAGAACCTCAGCTTCTCCCTCTTCTGCGAGATCTTCCCTCACCAATAACAGGCCATTTCCAACCAACCCATGGAGTTGATATAATCGGAATTACCTGCATATATCAAGCATCTGCAATGCACCAGGCATGATGCTGGGAGCTTATTTATTTCCCCATTTAACTCTCACCACAACTCTAAGAGTTGGGCATTATTCCTACCACCAAGTTCTGTAGACAAGGAATTTGAGACAGAGAAGGGTCACGTGGGGATTGTACCTGGCCTGTCTGATGAGGCCTTGCCTCCTCTAGTCGAGAATTCAGGATGTATTTTTCTTTTGAGGAAATGTGCTCCTTAAATGATGGCATACCCCAGATAGCCCTGGGAAGGCAACAGTTGTTTAGTTCACTTCAAATTCTTCCCGAGATGTTCATGTGTCAGGAACTTTGCTGGGCCCTGAGCACACAGACTCTGGTCTGCCCTCTAGGAGATGATGCCTGGCTTCCTTGGTGCCTCGGGCTCTCCTGAGCAGAAAGCTTTGTGACTCTTTGATCCCTGTTACCCTTCATGGTGTCGAAACCCACCAGTGATTGATTTACAGGGTCAAATCAAAAGCCATTGCATTTTCTAAAAATGTGAGAGCTCAGATTCCTTTTGAGTGGCCAGCTTTTCTCCATCAGCAGGTGGGCCTCATTCTGAGAGTGCTGAAGAACTTTTGCTCCCAAATCCAGGAAGTTCACAGATACTTCTCTTCTTCTTCCTGCCACCAAGCTTCTCCGCGGAGCTTGGCTTCCAGCTGTCCATGACACTGCCTGCCCTGGGGGTGGACCTGTATGATGAGGCCCCCTTGGTGCCTTGAAGCATCATGTCAAAGCCTCGTTCACACAATTTCTGACTTTTATCCCAGCCTGGCTCCCAGCCTGGCTCTCAGCCTTTGTTCTTGTGGGTCCATGAGGCCAACCTGCATGGACACCACCTTGGACCTTGGTGCAGTACAGCCCCTAGAACCCTTCTTCAGGCAAATTAGTGGCCTTGGGGAGAAGCCTGACTTCAGAGGGGCATGGAGACCAAGAGCAGATGTGCTCCATTCAGCCAGCCCTCCCTGAGCTCCTTCCATTCCTGGCTTTGTGCCAGGGTACATGGAAGCCGTGGAGAAGAATCAGACCCTTCTCCTGCTCACCATCCAAAGAAGGAGCAGACATGGAAACAGGTCCTCCGAATCCAGCCAGTGCTTAGTGTTGGAGGGAGGATGGAGGAGGTGTGTTCAGCCCTCTCTGGTGTGTGCTGGGAGAAAGGCTACAGAGGAGGGACAGGTTTTGAAGGACCATGAGGTGTGTTCTAGGCAGATGGTAAAGGTGAAACAGAGGTAGAAGACAGATGTTATAAATTAAGGGAATACGTTTTCTGAATACTGTTAGTTTGATCTAGTCCATTGCAGAGTAGAGGGGCATAAAGTGTGTATGCAGAGAGGGGCAGTGGGGTGGGGGTAGTCAGCCGTGAGGGAGCTCCTGCTTCCCTGGATCCCTCCCAGGCTCACTCTACTCCCTGAAGGCTGACTCTGCGCAGCCCTTCTGAATTCATGAGAGGTGGAGCAGGGTCTGGGGAGTGTGAGAATCTTCTAGACAGAAGTGAGATGTTGAAGATACTTGCACATAGGGCTGCTCCAGCACACTCCTAGGTCATACTAGGGCCAACTCTCCACATCCGGATGCCTATGTTGCCCCTGCTAGATGGAAGCTTCTTAGAACCATTACTGGATCTAAGATGACCCTTGGTGACCTCTTGGTGACCCTGGTAGCCAGCAGAATAGACATCAGTAATGTTTGCAGAGAGAGGTAGGAGGGAGGAAAGAAAGAAAGAAGGGAAGGAGGAAGGAAAAGAGGGCGGTAGAGAGGGAGGGAGGCACTAAAATTGCATCCTCTCTTGGACTACTCTGCATCTTTACAGGGGGACCTAGCCTCCCTGTTACTTTCTAAAGGCTCGGGGGTGGGCAGGGTGGGATTCTCCTTCTCTCCTTCCTGCTCCTCCTCTGCAGGCTGATGCTGGGCTTCATGGGTGTCACGGCCTTCCTGTCCATGTGGATCAGCAACACAGCCACCACCGCCATGATGGTGCCCATTGTAGAGGCCGTGCTGCAGCAGATGGAGGCCGCAAACGCAGCCACTGAGGCCAATCTGGGGGCCCTGGAGCTGGCAGACAAAGGCAAGGCCAGTGAGCTGCCAGGTAAGCCCCAACCAGTGTGCTGCCAGGGTTCCCAGTGGCAGCCTTCCTCTCTGTTACCAATAGCTTTGGCCACCTCCCTGACTCCTGAAACCTACTTTTAAACAAGCATACAGAGAAATACTTAGAAAATGCTGTTTTCCTAAGTTTTAGGAATGTAATTATTGCATAAAAGTTGGAACCTATAGCAAGTTCCCACCTTCAGTTCCTGCCAATCACAGAAATCAATATGTGCTCATTTGATTATTCATTTGGGCATATTTTGAGCATCTATTGGGTGCCCTTCACCCCTTTCTTCTCCTACTCATCCTCAGAGAGGCCTCCCCTGAATAGGACAAAACCCTCTCTTCTCTCTGCTCTCACAGGTATTGGGGTGGTTGTCCCATGTTGCTTTCCCACTATGTGCCGAACTCAGGGAAGTCAGATGGTGCCTGTTTTAGTCTCTGTGTTGTTTGCTACCCCATTGCCAGGGCCCAGCACAGGGGACTTGACCCATGCTGATGGCCTGATTGCCAGACCCTGGGCCAGGACCTTGGGTTGCTGAGATGAAGCAGACACACCCATACTGGACTCATGGAGCCCAAGGGGTGGGGAAATAAGGCCCCTTGTACAGTTCCTCTGACTTGGGGGAAACTACAGAATGCCACAAGCCAGATACGGAGGGAGCTCAGACAAGGGAGAGGCCTTGCTAGAAGAAGACACCTGAGATGGATTTGGACACCCCCCCTAGATGAAGGGACAGCTGGAGTAACAGCAAGAAGGCAGAAAAGAAGGGTGTGTGTCTGAAGTTGCTCAATTTGCACAGGGCATCAAGGAGCCTTGAGGAAGCCATGGGAAGTGACTTTCGAAGGCCCCTGTACAGTTCCTCTGACTTGGGGGAAACTACAGAATGCCACAAGCCAGATACGGAGGGAGCCCAGACAAGGGAGAGGCCTTGCTAGAAGAAGACACCTGAGATGGATTTGGACACCCCCCTAGATGAAGGGACAGCTGGAGTAACAGCAAGAAGGCAGAAAAGAAGGGTGTGTGTCTGAAGTTGCTCAATTTGCACAGGGCATCAAGGAGCCTTGAGGAAGCCATGGGAAGCGACTTTGGGAAGGCAGACAGGACCAGACTACAGCTTTGGGCTAGAGGCTGAGGAAAACTTGAGAAGGGAACCGGCATAGTTGGCATGTCCCCGTCCTCAGAGCAGCAGCAGAATTAAAAGCTGGAGCTGAGCAGGAGGCCCCCAAGACTGGCTCAGCTCATGGAGGTGTATCACTACAGGGAGCCAAGTGATTTTTGAAGGCCCTGCTATGGGGCAGCGGGAGAACAGTGACAGGAAGAGCATGTGCAAGGCCATGACCCTGTGTGTGTGCTACGCGGCCAGCATCGGAGGCACTGCCACCCTGACCGGGACAGGACCCAACGTGGTGCTCCTGGGCCAAATGCATGAGTGAGTCACTGGCCATGCCTTGTGGGGACAACAACGTGGGCCCTGGGTTTGGAGGGACCCATCCACCTCTTCCTCTTCCTTAGCTGGGTCCTGGAGCTAGGACTTTGTAGGGGTGGGAGGATATGCCCCCATCAGCCTCTGGGTCCCAGCATTGCTGCACTTGCTCAGGACCCATTGGGGGTGGGAGCTGATGACAGTCCTCAGATCTGGTTGCTTTCTGTCCTGGAGTGAGTCTCACCTTTTCTCTCTGGGCTCGGGATTCTTGCTCAGACAGGTCATGTGATTGAACTCTGCACTAAAGTCGTGGAAAAGACAATATAGTTTCAGATGTCAGGTCTTTGGTTAAAACTTGCAGAAAATAGACACCCCTACAGATGCTCCCCTTAAATCCGGCTCACTGACCTTGGTTGGGAATGGTGATAGTCTTATGATATTGGGGATCTAGAGATGGCATAAAAGGTTAGAGGTTAGATCACTCATTGCCTCACCAGCTTATTCACTATAGTTCCTCTAATTGCCCTTGAGGTGACTAGTGCCCTTGTGAGGCCCCAGGTGGACCACAGGGGTGGTCTGGAACTTTCCTTGGCCATGAAGGGACATAAGCCTTGAGGACCCAGTTCTGTGCCTGGCATTGTGCCCCATGGGGCTGGGATCACAGAAATGAGGGAAAACTGGGCTTTGTCAGAGGGATAGTCTTAGTTGGCTAAGGGCAGTGGATGCTTGGAGAATCTAGGTGGGTTATGCAAATGCATTAATGAAGGTAAGTACAAACTGCAGTGGGCACAGAGGGAAGAAACTTAAGTATGATGTTTCTCGTTCTGCGCATACAAGAGTCCTGGACAGGTGGGGAGGGCAGTTAGGAGGTAGGAAGGACAGGCCTGGAACCTGGCTGGCACAGTTGAGATCCAACAGGCAGACTATTCTGATCCTGTGAATGTTTTCTGTAATGATAGCCTTATGGTTTTCCCTGGAGTTCCTTTGAGAAAGGCAGCTGTCCAGCTGAGTGCAGAAAGCTCTGTGTTTACTTTGACACCCTTGGGCCACAGAGAGCAACACCTGGGGGTAGAAGGTGGGGCCTGGAGTGAAGTCCCACCCTGGGGAACTTTGAGATTTGCTTTCCTAAGGGGGCTCTTCCTTTGCAGAGGCCCACAGAACGAGGGTTCTGAGGCATCCTTGGACCCCCTGAAGCTGCCAAATTATGTGTGTACAAAGGTGTATTTTTCTGGAGGGACCATGACTTTCATGAGATTTTCATCAGGGCCGATTGGTCACCACTCAGGCTTGTCTTGTGTGTGGCCATGTTCTGAGGCCCCCACCTGACTGGGGTAATACCAGATGGCAGGTTTGGGTGGCTGGACCTCAGGAAGATGAGGCCCCTGCTCCAGACGGTCCCTTGGGGTCTATGGCTCAGCATCTGATAGAGATGTGGACTGGTGTTTCTCCCTTCAGATTGTTTCCCGAAAGTAAAGATACTGTGAACTTCGCCTCTTGGTTTGGATTTGCCTTTCCCAACATGGTGGTGATGCTGCTTTTCGCCTGGTTGTGGCTCCAGTGTATTTATATGAAATTCAAGTAAGTTTGAGCTACTTCCTGAATAAAGAGTCTAATCTGCAATGCACCTATGGAAGAACCCTCAGACTTAGTAGGCAAGTCCAAAAAGTTTTTCCTGTCCGGCCCCAACTACTTCTCCAGCCCCATCACCTGCTTGTCTGCCCTCTCATTTTGTCCACCCAAGCCTGCTGTGTCTTTGCACATGCTGTTCCCTCTTCCTGGAATGCCCTTCCCTATCTTCCTACCTTCTAATCCTCTCAACCTTCAGGGCCAGTTCAAATGCTGCTTCCTCAGGGACACCGTTCCTGACTGTTCTCCACCCTCATTCCATCGTGGAAGAATTTCTTGCTTGCTCTTTCAGCTCCTCTGGGCTATGAGATGCACTGTCTCTTGGTACCTGTAGTCATGTTCCAGTGCCACCTCTGCCCCTGGAGCTCCTCTGGGGCCTATGGTAAGTCCTCGCTATCCCTTGCACATATCCCGGCTCCTGGCCCAGGGAGAAAGAGAGTGTCATCAATGTGAGTCAAAGCAATTAAAGGGAATCTTGTCCTCATGTGCAAATCGATACTGCTGGACAAACTTCCACTTGGCGTATGTGTCCATTAGGTCTGGTCACAGCAGACCACCTGATAATGTCCAAACAATCCAAACCCAGCCCTTTACTGGATGTCCACAATGTTCCTAGCAGCGTGTGGGTTCTGGAAAGTTTACCTTCCTCTTCCCAGCACACTGGCAAGTTCATCAAGAGTCGACCTTGACAGCAGCCAGACTTTGGACAGAAACCACAGTGTGTGGCTGTCAAACATCTAAAAAAGCTGTTGTGATTTTAAAACACACAAATTTATCTATGGCGCAAAAGTGGCCTTCTTACACTGGGATGGAAAGTACTTAGCTGTGCCTTAATTCACAGGCAGCTGGAGCCAAATGAAAGACAGGGGCCTATGTGGCCAGAGGGAGGAGATCTCAGAGCTGAGAGGCAAAAGTACCCACAAAAACCTGTGAGTCAAGGGGAGAAATGGGGCCGTTCTATAAGTTTTCTTCTGAAGAAGGAGCTGTTTTGAAAACTGCCAGTAAAAAAATCCCTCCACGTAATCAGAGTAGTCATAGCAACTACGTAGCAGTAGTAGCATCCCTCACATGCCACCCTCATGTGCAGACCTCTCGTGAGAGGGAAGCTGCTCCCACAGGTGCTTAGGTACAGCTTGGTTTTGATTGAAGATCTTTGCTCTGCTTCTCACACCTGCTTCAGGACGAAAGTCCTCACGTCCATCCAGTGGGCCTCAGGAGACCTGCCCCAAACCTGTTGCAGGCTGCAGGTGAGTGTCTATGTCTCTTCAAGGGGCAACAGTAATAATAACAGCCCACATCTATTGAGTGCTTATTAAATGCCAGACAAGATTTTAAGCACTACGTATATTAATTAATCTTCACATCAATCTGTGAGGTAGGTACTCTTATTATTCCCAACTTACAGATAAGGCAACTGAGGCATGGAGAGGCTAAATGGCCTATGCAGGGTTGTATAACTTGAAAGTCCTGGGACTGAGATTTGAACCCAGGCAGTTTGGCTCTAGAGCCTGTGCCCACTACTCTACATCCCTGTCTCAGCCAGCTCGGGCTGCTATAACAAAATGCCAGACTGGGTGGCTTAAACCACAGACGTTTATTTCTCGCAGTTTTGGAGGCTAGAAGCTCAAGATCAAGGTGCCAGCCAATTTGGTTCCTGGTAAGAGCTTTCTTCCTGGCTTGCCAAAGGTCACCTTCTCACTGTGTCCTTACATGGGTGGGAGTGGTGGGGGAAAGAGAGAGAGACAGAGAGACAGAGACAGAGACAGAGACAGAGACAGACACACAGAGAGAGCTCGGCTGCCTTCCTCTTCTTATAAAGGCACAGGTCCTAGTCATTGGGCCCTACTCTCATGACGGTATATAAACCTAGTTACCTCCAAAGGCCCACTTCCTAATACTATCTCACTGGGGGTTAGGGCTTCAACATATGAATTTCCGGGGGGCACAATTCAGTTCATAACAGTCCCTGCTTAGGGAGGCTAAGGGTCGCTGCCCTCGACTGCCTTGAGGCCTAGGTACAGCTGGGTGTCAGAGACACCAGTCGTGGCTGCCCCTCAGGGTGGGGTTGGGAGCCTTGAAGTCCTGAGGCCTACGGAGTTCCCTGGTAGAACAAGCACAGGGTAGCCAGCTTGGCCCCAAGACCATAAGGAACCACCAGCCTCTAGAAGTGGACACCATGCCCCTGAAAACTCAGCCAAGGACTGGAGCTGTGGTTTACCTGGCCTGATGTGGCCTCAGTCATCTCTTCTTGACTGGCAGGGAGACTAGAGACTTCTGGAGTCTGCCTGTGGTTGGGTCAGGGCTGCTGCCTATTCCAACCCTTTCCGGCATGCGGCTCCAGCTCAGGAGCCCTCGCCGACTGGACGTGGAGTGTAGTGGGCAGGAGGATGGCTCACAGGCAGCCTCGTTTGGACAACTTTTTACAATCAGCTTGACAGACAGGACAATAGGAGATGTTCTCTGGCCCAGGTCATGTCCTGACATATACCGGGACCTGTTTCAGGATTCCTGCCCTCCATGCCTCCTGGACCACCTCACCTGAGGCAAGACAACACCTGTCTCAGCTGTGGGAAGCATCTTCACTGTGCCCTCACTCGACTCTCTCATTTGGAGGGTCATGGAGAGCAATGTCAGGGCCATTGCCTTTGGCCTAGTCCATATAAACTGTATCTTCCTAAATTTATGGGTGACCTCTCAGCCACCTCCAGCCAAGGACCCCCCAGGACTCCTCAGGACTAATGGGGTATCACTGATGGCTTATGCCCAACTTTCCTAACCAGGCTGACCCCTTGGTGAGGGCTCTTCTGGACACCTGCCATAGCAGAGGCAGTCCTCAGGGACTCAGGGGTCCCTTTACCTCTCTTTGGCTCTTCAGCATATTCACCCAGTTGATCCACATCATCCTTAAGGCCATTCTACTATAGAAGGACAATTGGCACCCACCTCACCCCCAGACTCCCATAGGCAAACTGGATCAATTTGCCTGCATCTCGTGCTAGGCCAGCGGTCACTAGACGGGATTAAACCAGAGATGACGGTGAAACTGCTTAGTGTAAGAGGGACTTGAAGGCTTGGCAGCACCACTGTGGGAGCCAGTTCTGGATAACTGCATGTGCATAGCAGCCCCCAGAGTCCATAATCACTGTGGTGTCAGGACTTGTAGGCAGCATCAGACACAGGCTCTGTAGCTGGGAGTACCAGAGTCAGCCCTTACCCTGAAAACCTGAAGCCTCTGGCCCAGCCTTAGAGTCTAGAGAACAACAGGTGCAGCAGATGGGGGCCTGATAGAACACTGACTCTCACACCCAGGGGGCAAGGCCACCTTCCACGCCAGCAGAGTCGTCCTTAAGTCGGGCAATCTGGAGGGCATCTCAAGCAGGTGATCCTTGGGATTTGTGGCCTTGCTCTTTGTTCAGCATGAGATCCCGGCAGGCTGTGCAGAACTGAGGCTCATTGCTGTCACTTCCTTTCCCAACCCCTGAGCACCTTGGAAGACTACGTTCTAACATCCCGTGTCCCACGCTCCAGGCCCTGTCCCATCATCAGCATGGCCTTCGCCCTCTCACGGGTGGTTCACATCCAGCCATGGCTTCAGGAATCTGCACCTTGGCACCCATTCCAACACCCTCTGCCCTCCTAGGAAGTCTGTCTTAGGGCCCCAGGAAGGACGTCCATAGGGTGAGCTCTCTAGGAAAAATCCTCATGGCCTGGCCCACCACTTTCAGACTGACAAGGGCTGGAACATGTGCATGAGATCTTCAGAGAGTTCCTCAAGGCTATGTCCTGGGCCCCAGTGGCCTCAGTTAGCCCCTCCTCACCACTGAGGTCCCCTTTGCACCTCCTCCAAGAATCCCTCCTTTCTGCCCTTTCATGCCAGTAACCCTCTTGTAGGGAACCCTGGGCAGGTATTGTTGGCCAATAGGCACCAGTCCGTAGGGAGCCCATCCAAGAGCAGGGCCAGGGCTGGCTTCCTTCCTGCCATAGCCATGCCTGCTGCTAGCTCCAGAGTCTCCTGGATCCTGAATCCTACACCTCCAGCTCCTCAGAATGTAGGCACCTATCCTGCTCCTGCTTGGCCCAATCTGCTTGTTCCTTGTGTCCTCCTGAGCCACCCTGATGATGAGGCTGGCATCCCAGGACCATAGAAGGCAGCTCCAGGCAGTGGTGAGAGGAAGAAGATTCAGGAAGCATGTGACAGAGCCCTGCCTCCACCTTGAGCCAGCTCCAGAACTCGGATGATGGGAGCAGCTGGTCTCCAGGCAAATGAGCACCTGCTTGGTCACATTTGCCACCTGCTTATTTCTGCCTCTGATGCTCCTGCCCAACACCTCCATCCTCCTCTGTTCGTCTCAGCCTCTCACCTTCCTGGATGCCCTCTCCTTTCCTGCCTTCATTGTCCCTGAGACTTGGCCCAGAACTGGCTGCCTCACTGGTGCCATTTCCGGTCTTCTCTGGGAGTACCCTTCAGTTCTGGGGGCACCTTGGAGCATGTGCTGGGCACGCATAATAGAGACTTTCCCCACTATGTCCTGTGAAGTAGGAGAGGCAGAAGACAGAAACGAGGAGCAGGAAAGGAACTTGCTCAAGGCCCCCGCAGGTGACAGGCAGCACCATAGGCCTTTATGCCAAGTTCTGCTGACCAATATTTAGGCTTTCATCTGATCAGCCCCTGAGCTAACCAACCTGCACTGCTGTTTTCTTGTCTTCACATCCTCTAGTTTTAAAAAGTCCTGCGGCTGTGGGTTGGAGAGGAGGAATAATGAGAAGGCTGCTTACAAGGTGCTGCAGGAGGAGTACAGGAAGCTGGGGCCTTTATCCTTCGCCGAGATCAACGTCCTGCTCTGCTTCCTCCTGCTGGTCAGCCTGTGGTTCTCTCGGGACCCTGGCTTCATGCCTGGCTGGCTGTCAGTCGCCTGGGCGGAGGGCGAGACAAAGTAAGTCATTTCTTCTGCAGCACCCTCCATGGTATTCCTGTGTTCTGTAGTTGAGTTCTGGATCACTCTGTTGGTTTCATGACTCATTTTTTCTCACCAATCTTCATGACAAGCCCATGGACGTGTTCCTGTGACCCTCCTGCCTCATCAGGCTGAGCAGAAAATACTTGGCCAGGAAGAGTGACCAGGGCTATGATCAAGAAAGATTCGTTGGACTAGAGCGGGACCCTCCGAGTTCTGCTCTGCCATCTTTTCTTTCTTCAGAGCCAGGCCAAGAATGGGGTGTCTTGGTTTCCAGCCAGAATTCAGTCTACCACACCACTCCTAATCTTGGTCTATGGGATTCCAGGTTTCGTATCCAGCTGAGCCTGTTTCTTCATGTAGGAGCATTTAGGCATGGTACAGGTTTGTTGCATGACTGCCATTGCAGCTGAGCTGGCTCATCCCACACTCTCCCCTACTTATAGGTATGTCTCTGATGCCACCGTAGCTATCTTCGTGGCCATATTGCTATTCATTGTGCCTTCTCAGAAGCCCAAGTTCAACTTCTGCAGCCAGACTAAGGAAGGTAAGGCTCCTGTCCTGGCCTTCCATTCGTCAGGGTTGGGGTCCTGGCCAGCAAAGTTTCTCTGTGGGAGTCCCTGGGCTCAGGAAGGAGAAAATCGTACCCTATGGAAGAGGACTGGTGAGGTTACAAAGTATGGACAGAGAGAGTTTTTCAAGCCTTCTCTGGGTATTGTTTAGTTCAAAATCTCTTCTTTGCTTTTTAAACATTTGAAATCTTACTAATATAATAGAAACAGAAAAATGTTTCACATTTTTCATAATGCCAGCAGTACTTCTGAGTTTCTCTCTTCCTCCTAGTCTTTATTAACGTACACATATATTATATGGGCATAATTAAAATACGCAATTTGAATACTGTTACTTTGTTGTATTTGTTTTCATATTTTTACTTGAGGTTACATAAGTATTTCCCGTTATAATCCCGCTACAGTCTTCAAATTTATCTTCTCTAATAACAGCATTATATTGCATTAAGGGACTGTAACCATTCTCCTGTTACGGAACAATCTGTTTTTGAATTTTTCATTATTATAAATTAATGTATTCACATATGTAGCTTTTTCTTGGAGGGTGTTTCTTCTTTAGAATAAATTTCTAGGACTGATGCTGCTGGGATAAAAGAGTATGTATGTCTTAATGGCTCTTAAATGTATCACCAAATTACTTTTCAAAAAGATTGTACCAATTTATAATGCCACCAGGAGTGTGTAATTGTTTTACCATATCTTCACCAGCAATGGCTGTAGTAATTACTGTAAATTTTAGCTAACTTACAGATATGAGATGGTACTCACTGTTCTTATGGGTTTTTATTCCCCTTCATTAGATCTCTTTTGCTTTCGAATGCTGCTCTGGGTTGTGTACATGTGTGCTTTATTTTTTCTTATCAGAAAGGAAAACTCCATTTTATCCTCCTACATTGCTGAATTGGAAGGTGACCCAAGAGAAAGTTCCCTGGGGCATTGTGCTGCTACTGGGGGGCGGATTTGCTCTGGCTAAAGGATGCGAGGTAACTTCTCCAGCTGTAGACTGCCTGGGGCCCCCTTCTTTCACCAAGAGGGCAGCCAAAAAAGTACTACATCCCTCCAACTCTGTACCCCTGGGCTGGTTCTCTGCCAGTCCCCTTCACTAACTGCAATTTTCTTGAGGACAGAGACTCTGTCTTGTCATCTAGGAACCCCACACCATGATTAGTGCCTGGAATAGAGAACGTACTCTGAGTGATTGTAGAAATGAGTGAATTTAAGTGACCCTGGTTAGCCAAGAGAGGCAGAGGATGCTGTGAGGTCTCCTTTGGGATTTGGAAATAAGGATCTTTGCTCTGATTTATCCTTGGGAAATCTTTCTTTCAAGTCCTTGTGAATATTTTCACTATTATCTTTGATTTTTCTACTTGCTGGACTCTTTGTTGATATGGCTGCCATTTAAAAATTCTTCTCTAGCTAAGTATATAGCAGCGTAGGAGAGGAACACCTTTTGGGGGAAAACACCCCAATATGTAACTTTCTTACCTCTGACAAGGAAGAAATGAGCCAGAGGAAGGGATGAGCCAGCATGGTGCTGCTTTCCTCCATCCATCCATTTACCTATCCGTGTATTCATCCATCTGCCCATCCATCCAGGAATAGAATGTAATAAATAGAAAGACTTGATTTATCTTGTTATTGCTATTTCCTCGGCATCTAAGGCAGAGCTTGGTGCATAGTGGGTGCATAAATATTTTTTAGATAAACAAATCCATCTGTCTGGTCACTTCTCCATCTAGTCATACATTCATCTATCGTTCATTCATTCATCAAACATTTCTATTATGTTCATACTAGTCCAGGCATGGGAATTACAGAAGAGATTGAAATTATTCCCTGTTCTTGAAGACTTCACAGCCCAGAGAGGGGGACATATTTGCAAGAACATTTCAAGAAGAAGTGATACATGAGTAAAGGAATAAGTGTGTGGTATCTAGCTGAGGAACAGAAGATGAAGCTGGCGAGGCTCACAGAAATGACTTAATGGAGGATCTTGAATTCAAGATAGGGCGTGTGGACTTTATTTTGAAGACAGTGGTCAGCCACTGAAGGATTGAGGCAGAGGGTGACTTGGTCAGACCTGCACTTGGGGAAAAATCACTCTGATGTCTGAAGTGGAGGCTTGGGCAGGGTAAGGGTTGAAGGAGACCCAGGAGACACTCTATAGCCTTCATCCAACTGAGTCTCAGAACACTGGACTCCATGGACCATTCTCTTCTTCTTGAAAGTCCCTCTTTGGCCCTCAAGACACCGTTTTATCTTTGTTTCCTTCCAACTCTGACAGTTCCTGCTCAGCTTCCTTCGCTGACTTTTCCTCTGTTCTCCTTTAAGTATGATTGTTCCTCAAGGCTCTGTCCTTTGCCTCTTCTTTGTTCACTTTTCATTCTCTCTCTGGACAATCTCTTCTCAGCCCAAAGCACCAAATCTAGATCCCCAATTTCTACCTCAAATCATTATCCTGAGCTTCAAGAACTGTGGGAGACTGAGAGGAGACAATAGACATGAGATGTTTTGGGTGACTTGGTGACCGATTGAATAGAAGAAATGAGGGGGGCAGAGACCTCTAGGATGACTCTCAGTCTTCTAGGTTGGACAGCAGATAGATGGTGAGTCCATTCACCAAGCCGGGGAGCCCAGGGGGAGCAGTAGACTCTGAGCTTAAGAGGATGAATGCAGGTTGGGCTATGTTGAGTCTGACATGCTCATGGGACATCTGGCTAGAAATTTCTAGGAGTATGGATGTTTAAATCTGAATAGTAGACCAGCTGGGTTGGAAACACAGACTTAGGAGACAGCAGAGTGAGGATAATGATTGAAATTTGGGGCATGGATAAGATCACCTATGGAATGGAAACAGACAGAATCAGAAGTTGGGGTTGGGTTGAGCTCCCTGGAGAAAGATGAGGGTCTCTACTGGCCTTGGAGGAATTGTAGCCCTGCAGTGACAGCCTTTCTGGTGCTTTCCAGGTCTCAGGGCTGTCTGAATGGATGGGAAAGCAGATGGAGCCCTTGCATGCTGTGCCTCCGACAGCCATCACCTTGATCTTGTCCTTACTTGTTGCTGTGTTCACTGAGTGCACAAGCAATGTGGCCACCACCACCCTGTTCCTGCCCATTTTTGCTTCCATGGTAAGTAACTCTGCAGGGGGTGGGCCCTTACCCATCATTTCATAGGAAGCTATCAAATCAGGGGTCAGAGCCCAACCAGGCTTTGGAGACCTGGGTCTGGCTCTGGCTCTGATGGGACTTGTGTGCCCTTGATGATCCTGGGCCTGACCTCAATGCTTTGTTAGTTCTTCTTTGTCACCTCTGTGCTGGCCGAAGTACTAAGCATGAACCAGGTGCTCAAAATTTATAAATGTAACTGACTACTTCTCCAGATGAGAAGACAGGACTTGCACCAAGTAGGAGCAAACAAAAGACATGGGGGAATGATAGAGGGTCTCTGAGTATGTAGCATGGGTATGTAGGACTGCAAAGCAGGGAGATACTGCTGGCTAGGACCCACCAGGAAGAGGTCTTGGAGCAGGTAGGGCTTGAGAATGGTTGGGGGGAGAGGATGTTCTGGGAAGATGGAGAGCCCAAGTAAAAGAATTGAGGTGCATGACAGAAGACTCCCAGAAGCCTTGTGTGGTAAGTGCAGGGATCAAGGATCAGTAGTGGGTGGTGGTGGAGGGGGATGCTGAGTGCCGGGGTAAGGAGCTTTTTTTTTATGGGCAAGCATGTTTTGGAGTTGGGACTTAGAAGAAGGCAGAGTTTATGGGGGAAATCGGCTGTGATCTTTTCTTGCATTTCTTTCTGTCACTCATCACATGGCGGTACTGACCTCAAGGTGGCACAGGAAAAGCCCTAGGCTTGGAGTCAGAAAGCCTAAGACCCAGTTGTGGGATCTTTGAGCATATCACTTAAATTCTTCATCCTACACTTATGTTGAGGGCCAAGAAACCGCAAAACTAGTCAGAGAGAGGCTGTGGTTGTCATTCTAGAATTGGGAGACAGACTTATAAAAACCTGAACACAAGATTGCAGTTGGTAAATTTCCACTTGGCTGCTGGGGTGTCCATGTGTATAAAAAGCAAACTCAAGAGGTTTTCTCCTTCTAGTCCAAGTGAAGTTGAAAGTGTGAGCAATAGCAAGGTGGCTGCACCTCCTCCTCCCCTAAGCAGACTACCCACTCAGATGCAGAGGACATCTTCTGGTGATGGGCATGTGGTGAGGCCTCTCTCCATCCCCAGTGAAGGGCTGGTTTTGTCACCTCCAGCCCGAGCAGTGAGCCCCGAGGGCCCCAACCCAGACAAATGGAGGTCTTAACCCAACAGGGTGGCCAGGCCCTTCGAAAACCAGCTTTTCTAGAACAAGAAGCCTCCAAGTAGGATTTCCCATGCTGCCTCCAAGCCCACTCACACTCCTGCCTCAGTGCCCACTTGCGGCAAAGGGAAAGATTGTGACCCCTTAGCTGGGTCACAAAGCCACATAGGGTGCACACATCATGCATACCTAAGACCAGGACAAATGAAAGAACCAAGAAACAGACTGTGCTCCTGCCTGGGTCCTCTCAGGTATTCCCAGAAGAAGTGTAACTTGGTTCAGTCTTTTCAGAGACCTGTTTACCCACAGGAAGCTTAACCTAAAACCTGCTCATACATTTTGACTCAGCAATTTCATGTCTGGGAATATGTCTCAGGAAATCATCGGAGATGCCTACAAGTATATACAATTGACCCTTGAACAAAGCGGGGGTAAGGAGCACTGACCCCCTGCACAGTGAAAAATCCGTGTATAATTTTTGACTCCCCCAGAACTTAGCTATAGTCCTTCAGTATCCATGAGTGATTGGTTCCAGGACCCTCCTCAGATACCCAAATCTGCAGATGCTAAAGGCCCTTATATATAATGGCACAGAATAATGCATACAGTTGGCCTTCCTCATCCACAGATTCCCAAATGCAAATGGAAAAATAATGTTTTCAATCTGTGGTTGGTTGAATTTGCAGATGGGAAACCTGGGGATACGGAGGGCTGACAGTACATTTATTGAAAAAAAGTGTGCATAATTGGACCTGAACAGTTTAAATCCATGTTGTTCAATGGTCAACTGTATTATAAAGACTCACATCACAGAATTATTTATTATAACATATTTCCATAATAGTAGAGGACTGATGAAATAAGTTATCATATATTCACACAATATATTACTATTGAACCATTTTTTAAAAATCGGAGTTTTGAAAGGCACTTAATAAAATGGAAACGTATAATTTTTTGAAGTTGAAAAGGTAATACATACGTGTGGGCTAAAATATCTAATAATAGCAAGGAATATAGGCCCTAACCCTCTAGCATCCTCCCTAGAGACAACTTATGTTATAAATTTCTTAAGTATCTTTCTGGATGTATCACACACACATGCACAAACACACACATACACAAACACAGACTCTTTTTAAACAAAAGGTATTATTGTATTATTCTATGCTTCTGCCCCTTAATTTTTTAAATCTAACAATAGATCTTAGAGATCTTTCCATGTTAGCACATAAAACCTATTCAATTCTTCTTCACATCTGCAAACTATTTCATAGCTCGTATGTATGTATTTTATTTAACCATCCTGCTATTGATGGCTGTTGGGTCTGTTTCCTGTGTATTTTGCTGTTATAATGTTGCATATGTGTCTGCCCTCATGTGCATGTAAATCTGCATGCTAGATTATTAATTTTGATAGATATTGACAGGCATTATGAATTATATCATGATATTCATTCATTCAACAAATATTTAAGGAGTGTCTGTCTACTTTGTGCTAAGTGCTGTTACGTGTAGCTGAATTTTAAGCTGTAGAATAAAAAAGATGGATACCAAATTCTATACTTAAAATGATCTCAAATGTGTACAAAAACACATACATAGATGTATCTACTGGTGAGAAGACGTGGTTCCTACCCTCTAGGCTCTCTCAGTCTGTGGCAGGATGGACAGATAATGTGCACACATAGACTGCAGGAACACTGAAAGATTCATTGCCGTCTCAGTGGCCAGCATGGTCTCTGGCACATAGTAGGTTCCCAAAAAATATGTGTTGAAAGAATTGAGGGGGTTCAGAAAGGCATCCCAGGGAGATTGCTCTGAGCTCAGCTCTCGGGGTCCAGCAGAGGTATCACCTGAGACATGGCAAAGTGTAGAGGACCCAGAAGGACAAAGGCACAGAGGTGGGAACACGCACAGCACGTTAGGGGAATGTTTTTCAGAATGATGGTCCCAGAAGCTTTTGTTTTCCGTATCTGTGATGCTGCAGTACTGTGTTTTCCCCCAGTCACGTTCCATGGGCCTCAATCCGCTGTACATCATGCTCCCCTGTACCCTGAGTGCATCCTTTGCCTTCATGTTGCCCGTGGCCACTCCACCTAACGCCATCGTGTTTGCCTATGGACACCTCAAGGTTTCTGACATGGTAATGCAGCCACTTTTCTTTATTCTTATCAGCTTTGATGCTTTTGTTGTAATAGATGTCCTGTTTATTAATGACATGTGATGTCATATGATTTTGGAATACCACCGAATGTCCAGATCTAGCCTCATTATTTGCATTTATATGCAGCTTTTCTTCTTTTTGGAAATAATCTCACATTTTATACTCCCAAAACTGAGATGGAGGAGGGAGATTGCCAGGTGTCTGCAGATGTAGAAGCAGGGAAGGGGCGAGAGAGAGAGAGAGAGAGAGAGAGAAAGAGAGAGAGAGACCATTGCCTGGGAATAGAAGATGCCTTGGAGAAACTCTTTTAGTTCTGCTCTGGCTTTACCACCTCTGACAGGAGAAGGAGGGCAGCTTTGCAGCTCTTGGAAGGGGAGAAGCAAATGTGTGAGAGGGGGAGGCTAGAAATGAAGGTCCCTATCTTAGTCCAATCAGGTATTAGGTATCTCAGTTCTCCTCTGGGTATCTCTGAGACTCCATGGAGCATTATTACAAAGAGGGTAGATTCCAGAAACCATGGACTGCAAACTCAATTCCAATTCACGGTGAAAAATCTACAACGGGGCTTGAAAGCAGTGGTTGATGAGCATGAGGAAAGAATGCAGAGCAGACATCAGAAAAAGCCAGGAGAGGTTCTTGGGAAGCCAGCAGGTGCTTGTGGGACAGTAAAGGTGCTGGATGAGCAGAGGACCTAGAGTCAGGCCCATGTTCCCTCAGTAACTCCCCAAGTGGCTTGGGGAATTGCTTCAGGTTGCCTCCCTGAGGCAATTTTCCAAATGCTCAAGTGAGCACAAAGAACCCACTGTCCTGCCTGTTTTCTAGGGATGATTTGAACACTGATGATACTTACTGGACAGGAAGTTGCTTTGTCTGGGGGTGGGGTGAGCACAGAGCCTGGCTTAGCACTGGGGGGCCCAGCAAACCAGCCATTGTCCCCTTCTCTGAGTGCACTAGTTCCTAGTGTCCCATTCACTTTTGTTTTGACAGCCCTGCTGACCCAAGGATACTGATTCTGGCCCTCTTTTTTTCCAGGTGAAATCAGGAATAGTGATGAACATAATTGGACTGTTCTGTGTATTTCTGGCAGTCAACACTTGGGGACGGGTCATATTTGACTTGGATCGTTTCCCTGACTGGGCCAATGTGACGCATATTGAGACTTAGGAAAAGCTATAAGACCATGACACAGCCTCCGCCTTCCTGAGGACTTCTGAACCTTCTGGCACACGTTACAGCAGAGCTTTGGGGTTTATACCCTCAAAGTGACCCACTGATGCCCATACCCCACAGAGACCCAGGCCCGGGTCATAGCTGGGAATGGGAAGCTGGAGGGCAGACACAGAAGTTAAGGGAGCCTCCCAAGAGGCTGCTGGCATCCATCTTTCCCAAAGCCCTGTTATCAACTCTGAGACAAGCAGGCTGCCAAGGGACCAGGATGCATGCTCCTACCCCCATTCGGCCTCCAGTTGGCCACATGCTGGGTTCTGACATCTACTTACTGAGTCCCAAGGTCATCTAAATGGGATTCAAATCCCAACTTAGGAGGTGAGAAAACTACCCTCCAGAGCCGGTGCCTCTTGCAGGTGACCTTGGGCTGCCTCAGATCACTCTTGGCACTTGGAAGGGACAACCCAGGCCAGGGACAGAATGTCTGGTCCTGGGCAGCTTCCCACTGCTGGAGTAAGAGTGGAAATCAGAGCCTCCTGGAACCACTAGCAGTATAGTGTCACCACCAAAGAATGAAGAATATGAATTAATAACTTCTGGACGATACCACCTACAGCACACCGTGGGCGAACCTGCTCCCCTCCTTACCTTGCTCCATTTTAACTGACAATTTGGACCCCTTTCCCAGCTCTCCAGTACATCTTCTTCAACTCCTAGGGCCCCTTTTTTTTTGTCTGGACCGATGTTTTCTGTGATCCCCTGGCTGGGGCCCCCTCGTACTCTCTTTTCTCCCAGGCAGGTCAGTTTGGCTCTTCTGGGAGATGCTTTCCCTGCCACCCCACACAACTGGGATCACACTCCAAGTAAGGGGAGTGAGAGATCCTCTGGGGCCACAGGTGGGTATCTAGGTCCTCCCTCACCTGTAGGCCCAGAGTGGACAGAGCCGCTAATTGCCAAGAGCAGTGTCTCTTCAGAATTATTCTGTCCTGCCAGAGTTCAAGCTCCCTTGGGGAAAGCCCTCCCTTCACTGGCTGGCCTTCGCAGCCATGCCTGGTGGTGACAGAGCATTGCTGAGAATGAGCAGTGCTTGCTGGTCCCTGAGCAGAAAGCCCCTGTCCATGAATGAATCTACCTGAAGCAGATGGAGTAAAGACCCCAGGGTGGCTTTGGGAATCCTCAGAATCCCTGTTAGAGAGACATGAGTGACACCTACCCTCTTGCCCACCAACCCCATTTTCTCTCCCTCTTATGCTGCTCTGGAAGAGGCAGTAGCAGATATAAGAGGTCCATTGATGGCATTTTTCAAAGCAGGAGAAAGTGTGGGAACCCAAGGAAACCCCCTCAAAGACAGAGCATGTACCTGGTTCCTTGGGAGAGAGAATTTTTGACCACCCTGTCTCTCCCCCATGGAAAGGTGCACTGCGTTGACTGTCTCTGGCTTTCTGCCATGTGTTGGGGGCAGAGGCAGGTGAGTGAATGAACACTTACTGCCCACCTCCTGTGTGCCAGGCCTCCCTGTACCTGGTACATCCACTACTTATCTTGTTTGATCTTTGCAGCACCCCTGTGAGATAGACAGGTATTATTATCCTTGTTTGCCTTTCAAGAATACTGAGGCTCAGAGAGGCCAAGTCATGAGTCCAAAGTCACATATCAAGTTAGTGGCATATAGGGTTCTGATCCAGATCTTCCACCTCCACGTCCACTGCCCCTTCCTCCTTAAGGTCCTTGGCCTTATGGGACCTACAGGGAAAAGTGCGTGGCCAAGAGCGAGCCCTCCCCAAGGCCCTGCTTGCTCAGGAAAGATCATCAAACGAGAGCCCCTTTTGGCTGCCTCCTCTGAGATGAGCTCAGGACAGTGTTGGAGGTGATCTTTGTCTGAAGAAGCAAAGCATTTGGTAGGAGAGAGAAGTATAAAAATGGCTACATGCTCCCCCCACCAAGATAAAATGACCCACCCTTCTATTACTGCTCTCCATACCGCTGCTGTGAATGTGTCTGCCACACCAGTCTGAGGGCTCCCCAAGGACTTGCACTGCCTGTTGGGTCCCGTACCAGCACTATGACCCAGAGCAGGACACAAGTGTGACTAGTAAATAAACAAGTGATCAACACGGTCAATTAGATCAGGGGTCCCCAACCCCAGGCCACTGGTCCATAGCCTGCTAGGAACTGGGCCGCACAGCAGGAGGTAAGTGGCGCATAAGCGAGTGAAGCTTCATCTGATTTGCAGCCACTCCCCAGTCCTAGCTTCGCTGCCTCAGCTCTACCTCAGATCATCGGCATTAGATTCTCATAAGAACACCAGTCCTTGGTACCAAAAAGGTTGGGGACCGCTGAATTAGATGCACACCCCTAAAGGTCAGTGAGGGTCATCCAAAGTGGGCACTGAAAGATGAGCAGGACTGGCAAGGCTGATGAGAGAGGATGTGGTGGGGTGGATAGAGGATTCTACCAGACTCCATCTGGTTGAGAGCTGACAAGAAGCTAGGTGGAGGCTTCAGGAGAGCAGATTCTACAGTGAGGAGGCTGACCAAAGGCTGTTTGTATATAATTTCTCTTGAAGTTGGCTGGAGTTACACTAACATTTATAGCCAGGATTGCTTTTAAATGCAAGTAGGAGAAAACCCAGCTAACAGTCGCTTAAACCATAAGGGCATTTAATGTCTAATTAAAAAGAAGTGTGGAGGTAGACAGCTGCTGGCATTGGTCCAGCAGCTCACTCAGGCCATGAAGGACTTGGGCTCTACCATCCACTCTGCCATCCTAAGGGTAGCTTGCATTTCTTTACTCTCATGCTTGACCCTCAGGCTACATACACATCTGCAATGAAGACAAAAAGAAAGGGGTGTGGGGCAGGGGCATAACAAAGCCTGCTTCATCTTTCTCTTTTATTAGGAAAGCAAAAACTTTTTCAGAAGCCCCTCGGACTTCCCTTTATGTCTTATTGGCCAGTACTAGGTTATATGCTCACCCTTAGGCCAATCATTGACAAAGAGTAATTGAAATACTTTTGGAATACTACTGAGACCAATTAAGACTCATCTCTTGAGCCTGGGGAATTGGCCTATGTTTCCTGAAATGAAGAGATATCTACCCACAACAAAATCCAATTTCTGGTAGGACAAAAGAGTAGGGAGCTGTTAGGTGGGTGATAAACAAGGTCTGGTGTTATGACACTTTCAGAGGGCTGCCCTCATTCCAGGCTACTTGAGTGGCTCCTTTTCCATGGAAATCAGTAGAAATATGTTCCGAGGTAGGCCGAGAGTATATCATTATCTAGTCAAAGGCTTCAGCTCTGCTTCCACTTCCTAAAGGCCAGGCCTCTTCCAGAAGACCCGCTGGATTGGGAGGCCAGAGTCTGAGTCATGAACCAAGTTCAGTCCTGACATCTGACACTAAACAAGCCAGTCCACTCTCTGGGCCTCAGTTTCCATTAGGAGGGGGCTGGACTAGAAGATCTCTAAGAGTCTGTCCCCAGAGTCATGATTTCAGTTACCCCACCAGATCCTTCATCAACTTGGGCCAGACGCAGTCTCCATCCCCAGTCTCCACTCCATCTCATCTTGGAGTCTATTACACAGCCCACGCCCTGTCCTTATCTGGGTCTTAGCCATTCGATGACCTTTTTCCCATCCATATTTTTGCCTCTTACATTCTATAAAGAGGTTCTACCCAAGACTCTTGAGTTCTTTCCTCTTAGCATCTGGATGAGACATTTAGGCCCGAGGTTAGCTGAACACATAACACATGACCAGGACTGCTCTCTCAACTGTTTTGCCAGAGACTTATGAATGCACAAGGATCCTATGCATTCCAAAGGTCTGGCCCCTGGGGACCAGAATTGGGACCTTTCCCTGTCTCTCTGAGCTGAGAACTTCCTTAGGGAAAGGCCTGGGCCACCTCCTCAGGCAGGACCAGTGAGCAGGGCATCTCCTGGGACACAGGAAGTCCTCTGTCCTCCCCATCATCTTCCTAATACTAACAAAAATAATGAATGATGGGGTTTTTGCTTTAGACCCCAAGCAGGGAATCACGTCAGTAGCACAGAGTCCAATTCTCAAAATGAATACAGACATTCTCAGGTATTGATGACATGTCCTTGTTTGTGGAAATAAAGACCATATGTTGGATTGTCCAGTTAAAAACTGTACCTGGCAGTCTCAATCTTAGCTCAGAACTCCTTCTTCCAGGGACTCTATCCCCCTAGTTCCACAGCCTCTGAAAAGCTTGGTCTCCCAACCCACCAGGGAAGTTTGTTTTCACATTAAAAAAAAATATTTTTTCCATCAAGATAAATCTTCCACACCATGGGAGAGGTTTGTACATTTATAACAGAAAGCTTATCACTTCAGGCTGAAATCCTTGCAATCAGATATTTAGTTTATTTCCCCTGGTGTCCTGAGACTGAGCTCAGGTTCTCACTTCCCTGCCCCAGGAATGTCTTCCAGGCACTTCTGTGATCTGCCTGTCCAAACACCCAATTCCACCCTCGGAGACACAGGCCGCCCACTGTTGGCAATTTTAGAACACATTTATGTCCCTGCTTTCAGCTATCAAGGGTAGAGAAACACTAAAATTCAATCTCAGAGCACCCTGTTATCTAATCAAGAAATTTTAACTAATTTTTATATTTAAAAAAAAAAAATAATATGAACACAGTAAAAGAAATTCCAACAGTACAAAAAAGTATTGAGATGTGTCCCTCTCACTTAAGACCTGAAACCCCTATCCCCCTCCAGAAAGACAACCATTGTCAACAGGTTCTTACATGTCTTTCCAGAGATATTACAAGCTTATGCAATAGATGTATATAGTCTTTATTATATATGGGAGCATACTATACACATATTCTGTCCTTGTTTCCACCACCCACCCCACTCCCTACCCTTGCTAAATTTATTTGGAGATCATTCCATTTCAGGACATACTAAGTTTGACCAGGGTGTTTTTTTTTAATTCAATAGTTAATTTTGTTTTAAAATTGAGGTAAAATTAAATTCAGTGAATACCATGGATCTTAAGTGTACAATTCAGTGATTTAGACAACTGTATACACCGTGTACACCCCATTTCCATTTCCTCCCCGAACATTCTCCTGCCCCTTC